AGCCCTTTAATGACTCACTTTACGGGGAAGTAGAAACAGAATCGAAGGCTGTACTTTACATTTACAGCTTTAAAAAAAACAAAAACATTTATATATAGAGAGATGGAGCAGTGCCAGTGATGTGTTGTTGTGTATAGTCAAAAAGTAAAGTAAAAAAAAGTAAGTAATTGTGAGTGATAAAATGTATAAGGGAAGGGCGGGTTCGATTCCACCTCCAGGATTTTCTGTGTGGAGTTTGCATGTTCTCCCTGTGTCTGGGCAGGTTTCCTCCAGGTGCTCCGGTTTCTCCCACCACTAAAAACATGTAGAATAAGTCTGGCATTCACCTTCTGTATGACAAAATTACATACATACTTACCTAAGGAAAAATGCTAAATATTCAAATCAGTTTGCAACGCCTCTACATTTCACATTCACATAGTGTCAATCCAATCAAAATAGTAATACCAAGACACTATTTGTCAAACCAGACCTCATTAACATCTTCATACATGTAACTGCCTTTTTTTTTTTTTTTGCGTGGCCCTCCCCCCACACTCACACCGAGAGCCTTCCATGGGTAGATCAGTCAGATGTGGCCCACTGCTCCCAAAGCCATGTTAACAAGACTCTTTACAAAGTGACCATAGGCTGTTAAACATTCAGGACTACAGGGGTCTTGCTATAGTGTGGGAGGAGGGCAAGGCCAGTAGGGGACAGGGGGGCCGCGAAAATAACTCTACAAAGTTGCCTTGTTGGAGGAAAAGTGTAAAAAGTTATGGGACAGAAGGTTCAATGAATCTTGCCACTTGAAAGCGAGGCGAAGGGGAAAGTTGAAATTAAACGCTGTGACGAATACAGAGACCTAAAAGTGACTCAATATGGACCAAATCGTTGCTTTATGACGTGAAAAAAACCCACGTCTCTTTGCTCCTAACTAGACCTGTCTATAGTTAGCCATCTCCTGCGTGAAATCCAAACCACACGTAAACAAGGCCACATTTTTGCAGGTTATTTTGGTCTCATTTGCAAGTCAATAGAAGTGAACAGAACAAGATAGTGTCTGATTCCTCGCCTCTGCTTTCGAAGGCCGCCAGATAATCTTGGTTAGAGGGCTTTAATGTATGTGGAGATAACACGAGACGACCTGACACGTAAAGCTAAAATAAACAGTGCGAGCTTTCACAAAGGCATCATTGTCAACAGAGTGTAATGGGCCATGATCAGTGACAACAACAACTAATATTGGTTGAAAACTTGTAGATAAGGGATGCATTATGGTTTCTAATGAGCCACAAAAGCTTATCTCACTATTCAATGAATTTACAAAACATTTTATTGATGTAAGAGTAAGATCATAATTTTGAAACATACTTGAATTGTTAAAGTATATAGGAGTAGTAGTAATGTACAAAAATCAACACATCAAAATCATACCGGTCTGTACAGCTCTTTGGTAAGCCTAGGTTGTTCTTAAATGTGCTATACAGATAAATATCGATTAATTGATTTAGACAAAGTTTATAAAGCAAAATATACAGCTAAAACAGGGGTTGGATGGAGAATATGCGTATTTGATTCCAACTTTTCTCATGCATACATACAACACAAAAAAAACACACGCACTTTAGACAAGGCCCAAACACTCTCTGGTCCTACACCTCTCCCCCATCACTTGCTCTTTGCTGAATGCATCACTCTCTTTCCTCCACACACTTCTTTAGGACTTATTTTAGAACTTTTTAGATGCGGCGTTGTCCTGTAAAAAGCCCTGCACGTCTACACAGAGCAGTGAGCAGATAAAGCCATAGTTTAGAAAGGCCTCCCACGATCGCCCGCGTTGGTGTCAGTGTAAATATGTGCATTACTTCTTTAAATATGCACAAGGCCTGCACGCTCCTGCATAGGGGCAGTTGGTACATATATCACAGAGAGAGAGAGAGGGAGAGAGAGAGAAGAGACGTGGACGACTCTTTCTCATGTCCGCTGTTCAAAGAGCGCACACCCAAGAGTGTCTGGTTTTCTCAGCTGTCTCTCTGTGGCCTTGTGTGCCCTCACTGGCCATAGGGGGTAAGGGCACCGGGGAGCAGGGGAGCAGGGGTGGGTCCTTTTTAATCACTCTTTCTGAGCTGTGAGAAAAATGCAACCATATATATATGAACCTATACTAAACATTATCTACCTTTATTTCTTGGTATGAAGATTTTATGTAAACACTTATGAGATGAGATTAACGTGACTGATGACACTTTACTCACATTTCAAATCAAATCTATTTATTTTTTAATCACCCAAAATAGCAAGAGGAAAAAGTTTAAGTTAAAATTGTGTTTATTCAGGATAATGTGCAGTTGCGTTAAAAATATGGCTGTACCAGATTTAGCACCATGATACTTTCCATCTGTTGTCCTTGCCAATACAATCATATAACTTGCATATTATTAACATACAGTTCACATTGTTGATTTGCCAATAGTAGATTAGAAAATTAAACCATTAAAACATGGTAATCGGTCCTTTAACAGCCAACGCTCACACATCAATGCTATAGTTATAACCTGCCTATATAGACTCAATGGTGGGCTCTTTTTCAATAATAATAATAATAATAATAACAACAGTTTTTATAGAATCAAAGATGATCCATTCTTTTCTCCTGTTAGGACGGTGGGTCACAGGAGGACAGCACAATTCAGTTTCAGACTATTATTTTTAGGAACCCAATATGTTTTTATCAGTGAAGACGATCGTGGTTGTAGATACGCATCGGCTAAGCACACACAGCTGTTGTCCACTTGTTTTGTTTGCAGTGGTTCTGTGTTTGGTCTGAAAAGGGGAGTGCTTTCATGACATATACTAAACTAATTCCAATAAGAACCTATCATTGCACAGTGAGGAATCCGATCGAGCTTTTTGTTCTGGACCGGATTCCCAAGGCCTCTCTTTGATCTTGTCCTGTACCTTTGTGCAAACTGTTCATCTCTGCTGTCCCTGCTTCACCTGTTTGACACAACCTCCAAACGCAAAAGATGAAAGGGTAGTGAGGCAGTCAGTCCGGCAGGTTGGAAAACAAACCTTCTCAAAGAAAAAGGGGACTTGGTGGACATTCCCCATGTGGCAGCGGGCGCCTCTGTTTCGTGTTTATTCAGATCTTCCGAGACAAACTCCCTCGAGACGTACATTTCGCAGATAGCCCGCAACTTTGAAGCCGCTAATATGAGGTATTATTCCTCCTTATGAGACGATGGTAAACCGAATTACACCACGGCGAAAGAATGTTGGCTCCGCTCAGCGTTTCCCAAGACCGAATGTTTATACAAGTAATTCTGCATTTACAGTCACGCATTTATGAATAGCTAACTGCTTGTTATTGTCCCCATAATGAGAACGGACGTCACCTTGCGAAGCTGCAGGGAATTTCCTAATGATCTCTCTATCCGCAAAAACCACACGAGGAGCAGACATTTAAATGGCAGCCGGAGAAGATAAAGTTCTTTTTATAGGGTGGAGTCGTCACAGCAGTGGTTTTCTGAATGGAGACTTGTCTATTTGTGTTCCGTTGATATTTGTTGTTTTATATTTTATCTTTTGTTTCATCTAGAACATCTGTATCACTGTAGTAATCTGTTATTTATATATAAATTCATTTTGGCATAATAAACTATTGCTTAGATAAGGCCAGTCGGGCGAAATTGACAGAAATTAATGTGTAGAGATTTATAAATTACAGACAATAATGAGATATTAATCCATGAATGAAATGTCTATTAAAATGGTTCCATATTGAATTAAAACAATCATTTCCAATTATGTCCCATACGCATTGTGTCCAACCTCTTATCTATTTAGAGATTTGTTTAGTTTGTGGATTAATCAGCTATTGATTCAATATTTACCAAAATGAATCATTGTTCAGCTGTAGAATGGTTTGATAACAGATGTTTCAACCATCAACCAACTACATACGGACAATGCTAACCCCTTTAGCTCAATGAAGCCCAATAGGGAAGTGCTCATGTTGAAATTTTGCTCCAACTCGCTCTGGCTCCTATTGACTTACATTGAAAAATAAACTCAGTGACTCTTTGCATCACGGGCGGCACGGTGGCTGAGTGGATAGCACTCTCGCCTCTCAGCAAGAAGGTCCTGGGTTCGAATCCCGGTCGGACCAGGGCCTTTCTGAGTGGAGTTTGCATGTTCTCCCCGTGTCTGCGTAGGTTTCCTCCGGGTACTCCGGTTTCCCCTACCACTAAAAATATGTCCAATAGTTCTGGCATGCGCCTCCTGTACCGGCCCCGCTCCCATCTCTGTGTGGAGTGAGAGACAAATGCCCAAAATTAACAATTGTAAACCGCTTTGAGACTCAGATCTGCAGTGAAAAGGCGGTATATAAATAAAAACTTACTTACTTACTTACTTACTTACACTCACCATTTTTGGGCTAAGAAAATGTGATATTATCTTTGTAAATCAAGATATAGGCCATATAAGGATTGACCAATAATATGGCTTGATTCAGGTGGGAAACCCCAGCAGTAGCAACCATCTTAGCAACACGTCTGTCCAGGTTATGGCGTAAAGCTACCACCGTCGGAACAAATGCCCATATAAGGAAATTGGCTTGAGCAATTCTATGCTAAAATCAACTTCTTCCATAATCGGCAAAAACGACGGCGACATCAGCACTTAATAGTATACAGGGCTGGTATACAATCTAAGGCTTCAATCAGTTAATCAACATTTTTTGTATGGCACAATATGTATGTCCAAGGTAATTCAAAGTGCTTCACAAGAGGCAATACAAAAATTAGAATGTTGCAGTGTAAAAGTATTAAAAATGAGGATTCAAAAACAAATAAATAGCACCAAATAGAATAAGTTGTATGCACAGATAAACAGAAGTCTCACAATTACAATGGAGTGGTGTGAGCAAGTTGTCGATGGGATGAATGAAAAAAAAAAACAAGGAGATCAAAGCTTAATTCCGTGTACCTTTGTGTGTGCAGTGAGCGGAGAGTGCGATGTCCTCGGTCGACCTGCAGGGCGGGGCGCGGCAGTCGGACTTCGTGATGGAGCACAAAGTCAGTAAACTCAACTTTGGCTTCCAGCGCAGCTCCACCTCAGACGACGACTCCGGCTGCGCTCTGGAGGAGTACGCCTGGGTCCCTCCTGGACTCCGCCCGGAGCAGGTAATCACCACAAACATGCACTTTCAGGTCAATGTATATTTGTATGGCCCTAAATCACAACAGCAGTCGACATTTTACAAAATTTGTCAAAAACAGATCATGGGAAATTAAATAGCAACTATGTCTGTAATTGTTTTTTTTTTCATATACAGTATCTCTCTATTTTTACATCTTTGAAAACTTCAAACTGGAGTACCATATTTTCAATCCATGAAAACATTTAACAATGTATTCAACTCTTAAGGCAGTTGAACATTCTGACTTTTTTCACAGCACTTTACTTTTACAAGACTCTTTCTGTGATAATGTTTGATGATTTATGCATGATGTTATATGGGTTGTGAGGCGCTTTGCGTTGCCTTGTGTAGGAAAGGCGCTCTATAAATAAACGTTGATTGATTGATTGATTGAGAACAAACAAAATGTATTATTTATGAACAAAAAGTTTGGCACCCCAGCTTTAAAAATAATACAACTCATGGAAGTAGTGCTGCTACTTTAACTTTACAATTGAACAACCAAAGTGTCTTGTAATGGCCTTGTAATGCATCTTTAGATCAGCTTTTTCAGCCAATCATCTCTCCGCCGTAAGCCTCAACTACAGACTTGCATGGCTTTCTTAGTGTGCAAAAGGTAAAATGCTTTCTAATAACATAAAGACCTTTCTGTTGGTACAAACAAAATGTATTATTTATTTAAAGTTAGGTACCCCAGCTTTAAAAACAACAACCAAAGTGTCTAGTAATGGCCCGATGA